GAAGACACAGCCAGTGACGGCTCAGTCGACCACGGAGGCAGAGTATATTGCAGCCGTAGAGGGCGTGAAGGAAGCGTTGTTCGTGCGTGGTGTTCTGTCGTTCGAGACCAGCGGTGCCACGATCAGGGTCCGTTAGGACAACGAGGGGGCTCTCGCGTTGGTGCAGAACCCTTTCAGCTCGGCGAGGAGCAAGCATATCGACGTGCGGTTCCACTTCATCCGCGAGCTCTTCAAGGCGGGCAAGATCACCGCAGATTATGTCTCGACAGAAGAGCAGCACGCCGATATGCTGACCAAGGTCCTTGGTAGGGGCAAGTTGGAGTACCACCGGAAGGCTCTGAAGAACCTGCCACAGTAGGGTTCTGGTCTCGTTTTCGTGGCGTTTGTTTTGTTTTGTTCTAGCACTGGGCGCGTCTCGGACCATGGTATGTCACGCAGGAAGCGTTGGTCAGGGGCGTCACCCGCGGCGGGAGCTTAGTGTTTTTGACCAATTGCTTCGGGTGTGTAATCAGCGTGGCCTGTCCAATCTGTCCTGCCTTAGTCCTGCCCTGATAGTGCGGCCGTTGGAATCCTTTGTGATAGCGACGGTTTTCTTTATGTGTTGAGTTTGTAGGCGAGGGTTTTTGATCCGGATGGCCGAGTTTTCCCTTGCACCTGTTGTTGTATGAGTAACTTAAGTAGATCTGGAGTATCTATGCCCCACTGATGGTTTGTCAATAGCTTGACGAACCGGGGAGGGTGTTCGTGTGTCTGGATACGAGCATGGTAGATCTGCTAGCAGCACGGGGGGGTACGTAGACAGGAGCATGCGTATGCCTGAAGAAGGCTACTATGTGTGGGCCCCCTTCCCCGAATTCGGGAGGGCCACTTCTCCCCTTCCTTTCCTCGCTCCCGCGGGTGCCTAATCAGAGAGAATTAAAGCGTGTCTTCTCCTCCCAAGTTCGGACATACCAACAGTGAGTTCCGAGTTGAAGCATGTTTTTCAGCATGGATACACACAGGGCGAGTTCACGATGTCTGCTATTGTAGGCGTTGGTGAAAATGAGGACGGCACAATACAAGTCAAGGTAGAATGGGCCGGATTCGAGCGCGATGAAGGCACGTGGGAGCCGTTGAAATATATTTGGGAAGATGCTCCACAATTCGTAAGGTTTGAGTTGCGTAAAATGGATCTGGACCAAGGAGTTCGTGCTAGGTTGCAGTCGGAATATGGTACCGGTCTGTAGTCTATTTGACGGGTTCATTGTGAAGTATTCTCATTAAAACGTTATAAAGGCGATTTATCATATTATTAGTAAGAGGCTGAGGCCGTTATCATTCTTCAATGGTATAACGCAATGTCAGTGTCGATATATTTGTTGTCAAGCTTCCGTAGAAATCTACTTTGAAGTGGTACGTTGCGTTGGAGGGTGTTGTGGAATAAAGTAGGACACAGAACTATTGCGGTAGTTTACAAGGTCGTATGTAGACTATATGATTGGTTCTAGGAGGACGTAAGTGTCGGTTCAAGTGTAACGTGCATGACGTGGAATGCGGCGTGACTTCGACGATGAATGTATGTGTGGATGCCTCGTCGAGGTCAGTCCTGAATAATGAAGAACTGTGTGGTGTGTTGACCAACGGTCTTGCATCTCTGAGGTTAGGAAACTAAGACGAGGGCTCCTCAGAGCACAAACTCCCTCGATTGGACTAGGGATCCACAGATACCAAGTCCACTTGAGCCCATAACGGCATCCCTCAATCTAGACTATTCGGCTCTGCGCCGGGGATGGGCGCGCCCACCTTTACGGAAACGGCGAGTCACAAGTCGGATGAGCAATCGCGCCTCTGGTCGCCTGCCGTGTCGGCATCTGTCTTGATGGCCTCACCGGCGACTTCGTGGCCTCCTCGTGGACACCCGATGCTGGCCTCGTCAGTTAAGCTGGGTCCGTTCATATATCGAATATGAAAAGAACACATCACCGAGACTCGTCGAGGGAACGTCCTCATGGCAGCATGACGTTGTACTGTAGACTATGGATGTACAGATGTTCTGTTTGTTGTTGCAGGCTTGTGGCCTCTCCGATTTGTCTCCTAGAAATTCCCGAAGCAGCCCGGACGTGAACGAGATGACCAGTCCGTGCTTACGGGTTATTGGTTTTCCCTTTGCTTCAAGGGATTTACGCTTCTCGATTCCCCAAAGTCGTACGAAAACTGCGCGCCTGGACGAGTACGACTGTAGGAAGCCAAAGTCGTCGACTCACCTTCGAAATGTCTCAGGCCGTCCGTGGGGGAAGGTGCAGGCCAGCCCGCCCTGAGAGGGATGGCGTAGAGAGGGATGACGTATCACTACATACTCACTTACATGTGATGCACGTTTTTTCGTTCATGGTGTACTATTATTAGACTATTGTAGAACCGCAGCGACTGGAGGTCTCATAACTGCCTTGCCACTTTCTTTGAACCGACTTTTCAATACTCCAGCCGTGGTTCCAGCGGTGACGACGTCGCTAGCAACATTTGTGTCGACCTCCTGCTGGGCGAAGGGCCGGTTTCCGAGTCGGAGATGGTCCAAGGCCAACCTTCATACGACCGTACCGAACATTTTCTTACTTCCGGAAGCCCATAAAGGCTCTGCACTGCAACCATGTCCCACAGCGGGGTGCAGGTCTATAGCCATGTCGGGGCTCGATGTCTTTAGCGTTGTTTCGCGAGGGCGCGTCGGGCGCCGTTCAGCAGGGACTACGTCAATGGGTGCGGTGTACCGCACCCACCCCGTACCGGGCAATGACACGATAAAATCAGTAATTTGCAGTACAGTAGTGTTCTTGAAATTCGGCGAAGAAAGCCCTGGGTTTCATACCCGTGGCCGGTTGTGCCCCGTCAAGAGCCGGGCACAGAATGTTTGAGGTGCTCAGCAGCAGAGCACCAATCTTCGGGACTTCCGGCTGGGTACGTCGATTATGTGTGTATGGTGGGCATGATGCGCGCGGCGCGTCTCTTGCCTCCCACGTGTATGTATGCCACTCGTTCGTCATACAAGGTCTTCGGTCAACATTTTCCCTCTCTCGGCCGCTGACGAAGCTACCGCACCTAAACATAGAACGTTCTCTCATACGTACATATTATCATTCGGTCGCGTAGTAAAGAAACGTCGTTTGGCGGTCGGTAACAATATGAACGTGTTGTTTGTATGTCGAAAAATACTTCGGCCCGGGAAGCGTGGACTGTTCGATACACTCAAATCTTCGGTACACACCCCGATTCGCTCATGTAACCTACTGTAGTACTCGATAGATTTTTACATCGTACTTGTTTTGTCGGACAGACATAGAAAAAAAAACCTCCAGCGCATAACATTTCTCCGATCACTGTGATACGTGTCTGTTGTACTGTAGAACATAATACGATCACTGTTTCCAGCAATCGCGTGAGCTGTCAACTTGCCCCGACTCTCCCACGCGGGGTATTCACCACAAGAGAGATACGCGCCCGAACACTGAAAGTGTGTTCGAGCCGGTGTGGGAATTGCAGTTGAGACGAGCAAAACGCGATCTCGCCATCGCGCACCCTCTAAACGCCATGCAGCCCCTTGTCAACGGCTACACGGTGGCCTTGTGCTCCCGGCGGCTGCTGCTCTCGTGCCTGCTTCGTCTCGGATCGATTCCTTTTATGTACATTCTTGATCGTGAAGTTGCTTCGATCCCGCCGTGCGTCGCCGGCAGTGGTCAATGCGTGTCGTTCAGGTTCAAAGCTGCCAGAGAAGCTGGACAGGATGCAGGGGCGGCGGCCGGGCCGTACTCCTGTGCGTTCGATAAAGCGAGTGCCGTCTGATTGGTAGTCGTTCCGTTGTTTTCACGTACGTCCAGGCCGGCAGCAGCAGGTTCACATGCACGTGCACGGTGCAGGCAACAGCCACACACGCATTTCGACCGGAGAAGTTTGGAACCACTGCGGGGTTCTTTTGAAAGATGCCCGATTCTTTCGCATTGTGTGGTGCCGTGTGGTCTGCCGAGAGCCAGAGGAATATATGTCTACGACGGGGTGCAGAGGTTGCACAGATAGTCTCTTGGCAAACCGTACATCTGGGGGATACAGTAGCCGACATGCCGGGGAGGCCGTGGAAGTTGTGTGTTCCTCATACCAACATTGTGCGGAGGGCCCTCTGGACAACCTCAAGTACAGCAGGGGGTAGGGGGAAAGACAGGACAGGTGCGTGCATGTTTCGGCGGGAAATCGAAGAAATCTGTATCATCTACTGGCGCCGAGCTCACCCCGAAGGAATATGTACACTCACCTCCCGTGCCTGCGCGAAGAACAGCTTCATCCCGTCGTTGCCGAATACACGCCCAACGCCCATGGTGTTCTCTCTCTGCCGGCGAGAGCCCTCCCGAAGCGCAGATGAGGCGGCAGCGTGGTCCTCGCGGTCCTCGCGAAGGGCCAAGTCGAAAGCGGAGGCAACTGCGTTGACCGGAGCCCCAGTCTGCACCTGCACGCTGTACGGAATATTAGGCAGAACATGTCGGGGTTGGAGGTCACTAAATTGGAGGTCGAGGCGCTTCGGTCACACCCTTGTGTTCACATCGTGGGGCATGACTTCCGTCCGCCGCTTTCAATTACTTCGAAGACATGAAGTAATGTACAGTAGTTGCCACCCTACCCTGGCCAAACGTTTCCCTTCAGCTCAGATGATACAGTGTGCTGAGGTCCTCAAGCACACCAATTCATCTCCCAAGGTAGGTGTGACCACGACGACCGAACAAAGCTGTACCTCGTGCCTGATGTGGCGGCCGCACGTGGATCAATGCCCCACCCTCGTCGTACCCGTGCAAGGAGCTTGCTTGTCAAACCTCGGAGGCGTGGCAGACACTGGAGGACCGCCCACAGAATGGTGAACAGAAACCAGGTGCTTTGGTAGCAGTTCCCTCCGTTTTCCACGGTGATAATCGCGGATTTGTCGCTCTACGCCATGATATCCTTAACGGCTAGCTTGTTGTGAGTGACCAAGCCAGTTGTTGAGGACATCAAGCCGTGGAGCAATGAATCCGTGATGATGACGGTGGACGACGGTGGCAACTGCTACCAGAGCAACTGGTTTCTGCTCACCGTTCTGTGGGCAGTCCTCCAGTGTCCGCGACGCCTCCGACGTTTTACAAGCAAGCTCCCTGCACGGGTACAACGAGGTTGGGGCATTGATCGACGTTCCACCGCACCACCAGGTACAGCTTTTTCCGGTCGTCGTGGTCAAACCTGCCTTCGGAAGTGTATTGGGGCAGCGTCAAGGTCGAGCCAGCGAGAAAGACGATTCAGTCGCTACTGTGTTTGCGACGTGGGGCACGATCTGCATCCGTCACTTTCTATTGCTTCGAAGGCATCAAATACGGTCCAACAGTTGCCGTCCTTTACTGGTCAAACGTTCTCCTTCAGCTCAGATGATACAATGTGCAGAGGTCCTCAAGCACACCAATTCGGTAGGTAGGTGTGACCACTTCGACGGAAAACATTGTACCTGGTGGTGCGGCGGAATATGGAGCAATGCCCCACCCTCGTCGTATCCGTGCAAGCGACGTGCTGATCGAACGCTGGATGCGCCGCGGACACTGGAGGACTGCCCACAGGATGGTGAGCAGAAACCAGTTGCTCTGGTAGCAGTTCCCGCGGTCGTCCACCGTTATCAGCACGTATTTGAGGAACGCATGGAAACCTGAACGTAGGCAACGAGCGACGCAAGGGATTGATCTCGAACAATTTTATCGAAAATATCGTGGAGAACAGTTTTCTTGGGACGACGACGCCGACACAAGAGAGGAGCGAAGGCGGAACCACCTTGGTCGAGTGAGTTTTGTCTTTTGTACGCGTAACGCTTAGAATGGACATACCGTGTTCGGGGCACGAGTGCCCCGAACATTGGCTGGGTAAAATACATTCGTAAGTGCTACGCGTAGACAACAGCACTTCGTCGAGGTTCTTTGTCCCTGTGCCATAACCACAACAATATAGAGCAAGTGGCGGTAAGGAGGGCGGCAGCGCAGCGGCAGGAAGAGCAGGAGCTGGCTGCCGTTCGCTTGAACGAGCGGCACCAGGAGAGGCTGGCTGCAGTCCAGAAACAGCTCGCCAACAGCCACAACAACAACGCGGTGTTGAGGGAGGGAGCCGCGGCCGCGGAGCAAGAGGTGGACCTGTATGACGCACCGGCGCATTTGGTCGACCTCGTGCTCTGCGGCCGCAGCCCGCTCGCTCAACAAGGAGTTTGCGCTCTGGCTGGCAGCTAGCTGTTCCTGGGCTGCAGCCAGCCTCTTCTGGTGTTGCTCCTTCAGACGACCAGCAGTCAGCTCCTGCTTTTCCTGGCGCTGTACTGCCGCCCTCATCGCCACCGCTTGCTCGCTATTGTTGCGGTGGAGAACGAAGAAGGCAGAAACAGAGAGGTTATGGCACAGCGGCAAAGATTCTCGACGGAGTGTTGATGTCTACGCGTGGCACTTACATAGAATACGAACCATGAATTATCGGGGCACTGCTATAGCACGCACCCGCGCAATTCCTCGACAGTGCGCTCCGCAGCCGAATCTCGCTTCATCAACACGTCATTGCCGTTGTTGCTGGCGGCGAGCAGCTCGCGCCCTCGGGCCAGAGTCTCCTGGTGCTGCACTGCCGCCCTCGTCGCCTCCCTATTGTTGCGGTGGAGCACGAAGAAGGGAGAAAAAGAGGTCATGGCACAGGAGCAAGTAATTTCGACGGAGCGCCGTTGTCTATGAGTGACACTTAGAACACGAAGCACGGCACTCCCGCACGGGGGCACTGCTATAGCACGCACCCGCCCAATTCCTCGGCAATTCGCTCCGCGGCCGCAGCTCGCTCCGTCAATACGGCATTGTCGTTGTTGCTAGTGGCGAGCGGCTCGCGCCCTTGAGGATCTCCTGATGCTGCTGACGCTCGGAAGCGGGTTCCTCCTGTTGCCTCCGCCGCATTGCCGCCACTTCGTTCCTGTGGAGAACGAAGGAGGAACAACGAGGGATAATAGGAGAGATTGAAGCACAGGAGCGAGAAGCTCTTAACGTTATGCCTGGCCGCAAACCAGGTGCATGACGACCTCTATGTCACACATTGGCTGATCGCCTTGCTTGTCGTGGTTTCACCATTGCCTCAATTCCAAAGGATGGCCATCGGTGCTCCCTTTCTTACCTCTGCAGCTATTCCGATACATCATTGCCTGTTGTTCGCCAAGATCACCTCTAGCAAGATTGGAGACCTCGTGCGCCTCAACCTCTCACCAGTACGGATTTGTGGTGGTGCGGAGCAGAGGCAGAATGGGACGATTTTTCTTGTGAAGACAACGTTTATCCAAGTGAAGAATACAACAACGACCACAACAACAACGACAGCAAAATGCTACGTGCACCACTGCCTCTGTCGCGATGCATAACCGCCATCGTGGGGTGACCAACAAGCCAACATACCCGCCCTGCGATGCACCTACCTGTGCGCCTCCCACGCAAATGTGGCCCTTTCGGACACGATGCGCTGTCGCTCCTCTTCTTCGAGTTGGCCAAAAACCTCTTGGTTGACCCTCAAGCCTCTCAACTGCCTGCTTGAGAGAAAGCAAAGTTCGAGCAATGCCCAAGAGATGTTGCGACTTCAGAGCGTCTCGTGCAAGAAGAGTACTGTTGCCTACTTTTCGCACTTGTCGGAACTACTCTTTGTAGGTATTTTGGCAGTTCATGTCGACATATTGGTAGTGGCCCACACGGTGAAAGCGAAATCAACGGCATCTACAACGTGCACCCGTGCCGACAGCTAAAACAAATACTTCCTCCGCCCCAGAAGATCAGCCCGGTTCGAAAATCCAACTGCATGAGCCCGACGTGAAATATGGCGATGATGTGCCCAAAATGGGTGTTTTGAGCGTCTAACCTTCAGCATGGGTCTTCATATAGTACTCCATTATACCAAAAAAAAAAAACATTCTTGACCCAGAGGATCAATTGTTGTCATCCCCGGCGTATGTAATGAGATTTTCCACAGGAGAGGGCCAGTTTTCGCAGAAATTTGGCGTACTACGTGATACAGCCCCCCCCCCAACAAAAATTGTTGATGTTTACATCAATGCCTGTAAGTTATTACAGTAGGGGGCCCTCTATAGTGCCGGTATGTATTCAGAGAGCAAAGCGGCACTGTACCGGGCACCGGCACTATTCAGAGTACAGAAAGACTTGATATTCCGGTGTGTGCGAGCCGAAAACACCGGCACTATACCGGCAACCGGCACTGTTCAACCGGCACTATATCGGGCCACCCACTGTATACGATTGAGGACCTGTATGCGAACAAAGGGACCTTCGAGACGCGGGGACAGCATGATTTTGTCCCCGGGAGGAGCAGATGTATCCCCAAACCGGCTGTGTACGGCCGATTCCAGAAAGTGGAGAACAATAGAGCGACACACATTTGGTTACATAGCGTCCATGATGTTGAATGCACGCTTGAAGCAAGTTTTCAGTGAGAAAACAACAATTTTGCCGCAATTACGGCAGCGGCAGGCGCGTTCCCAAGCAACAGCGAACAACAGCAGTGTAACTTCAAACGCTGCGAGGCAAAGCCACGAATCTCCAGTCGAACGCGAAGCAACTGATGACATCCATGAAGAACAGCAACTACAGCAGCACCAGAACCAACAGCGGCGGCAGCAGCGGCAGGACCGCCAGCACCAGAGGCAGCAGCAGCACTCCCTGAAGCACTTGATCTGCCTGATACAGCTGCCGAAGATGCGCCGACAGCAGTAGAACCAACGACGAAAGCAGCAGAAGACCCACCAGTAGCACCAATAGAAGTCTGGTTCGTCGACATGATACCAAAAACTCGAGAAGGCGATCCACAGGGTGTCCTCGCTTGTTGGCGGCTGCTGCCTCTGGGTCTGCTGGCTGCGGTGTGCTCAATTAGTGGTGTGGTGGTCGCCTCGGGCGCCTTTTGCGCTAGAGTGTCTAACTCCGTATGTCGTCGAGTTTCTTTCCGTCGGTATGAAAAAAATAACCGGTTCTAGGTCCATTTCCGGCAGAAGAATCCATTTCCGGCATGTACAAAAAAATATACATATTTTTCGCGCCACTTTTGGACGAAAACAAATGCGGCGGGATTCAATTCACAGGGAAGATCACCTCGGAGCGACTTGTACCCCGCCAATCGACTCCGCTTGGTCGAATTACCCAAGAGGAACTTACTGCAGGGTCTCCCGACCCCACCTCGACGACATACTGCTCATTCCCTTCCCGTCGCCTGGACGGTGGCGGCTGCTGCCACCATGCTGAGGCGCGATATCAAAATTGCGGGAGAAGCGAGGGTCATCAAGCACAGATGGCGCATGCACACCAGGGGCTATCAGCTGACCTCCACGCTGCTGCAGAAGGGCACTGAGATTGCGGCTACCAAGGCAATAGGCTCTGTGGTGGATGACCTCGAGGGCGTTGTACATATGGCCCGAGAGCATGTTGATGACCTCCGAGAACGGGCTTCTAAACGTCGCAAGAAGAAACCGGAAGGAGCCGCCACCAGATCTGCTGCCGCTGCTGCGGTGGCTGCTGCTGCTGCCGAACGATGTCCAAGGCTAGGAGCCGATGCACGTCTCGCTCGGTCCGATCCGCTGGAGGCGCTTCTTTTCAGCGGACCGAGGAGAAGCCCACAACCCACGACGACTCCTCCACGACAACGGCGAATGGTGAGTTCAGAGCGGTGTACTTCAAGAGATAGGGTGATATCTTGCGTATTTTTAAAATGTTTGAATTTCCGTGTAGGCTACACCACTGCTGTATTTCCGATATATTTCCCCTGCTCTCCATCTTCCCACGAAACTATTGAAACCCATCCTTACATTTCCCCCCTCTCGCGTCAAAACTGCTTCAAATTTTATCGTAACCAAGCAGGCTATCGACCGGCACCGCGACGGGGTGAAGCAGAGTGTGTTAGAGGATGATGTGTTGAAGGAGGAGCTGAGGGAGTTACTGTGTGTCGGAGAACTTGGAGAGGCAGCGGCGACGAAGGCTGCTGTCGATGCGGAGAACATTCGCGCACTGGTCGCCTCTATAGAGACGTTGAAGCTACACTCCCACAGCAACATCGGCCGCGCTGCCTACAACACCGTCATTGCCGCAGCTGCTGGAGCGGAGCACACGTGCGATCCTGATTACCCTTGCACGCCGGATGAGCCGCGCGCACCTGCTGAGCCGCAGGGTGCCGTCAGCCTTGCCGCGCGAGCAGAGGGTCTTGGTGTGAGATACCATACGTTCCGTGCAGCGCGTACCCGGATGCACAGGACTGACCACACCATACTTCCACAGGAAGCTTTGGAGAAGGGGAGATACCTCTGGGCTCCTCGCAAGGAAAGGAGCGACAAGATGGACGAACGTGTCATGGGTTTGGCGAGGTGGTTCTGGCACTCTGACTATATTTCTCGTGCGTCGGGAGACTCCGGTAAGCGCTGTCAAATTTTGTCGTTGTACAATTAATTGTATATCGGGGTATCTCCTTTGCCGTTTTTTGTCGACGTGACGTATCATCTACACTTCTCTGTACCC